TTATGGGTGATGAGCAGGCAGGATGGAAGTGAAGGGGCCCAGAGTTCAGGATGGTAATAACGGAGCTATGGAATCGCTGAGTATTGAGTGTTGAGCACCCTAGGTGTAAACGAGTGAAGTCTGTAATTGAGTGCTGGATAAACCAGCCCATAACCGTAAAAAATAAGAAGTCATTGTTGGTCATGCCCGCTGTGTTGTGGTGGCTTGCTGCACAGCAGTGGAGGACCACAGTGCTGTGCCCAATGCCCAAGCATGGCAGTAGCACGCAGCAAGGGAGCCTGTGAAAGTAGAGGTCAGTCCCTTGGGGAAACTGGGCAGAGAGGAGAATGGTGGGATTCAGGAGGAGCACACAGATAATACACCGCCCACCAGGCAGAGAGCAGGCTGTAGAAGGTGCGCCAGGCCAGGGCCTGTGTCCTGAGATGGGGCATCTGCAGAGGCAAGCAGTGGTGGTGGAGTGATGGGTGGAGAGCAGAAATTTGCTAAGCTTGGTACACATGGCATGGACCCTGCCCTGGGCTTTCCAGAGGAAAGAGTCTTCCTGTGGGAATCTCCTCGTTATCCCACTGGTGGGGTCCAGACCACTCAAGGGTTAGAGATAGGAGCTGTGTGGTGAGATTTGAGGCAACAGAGTATAGAGTCACGTCCCTAGATTTTTCTGAGTTTAATCCATGCCCCCACTCACTAGGACGAGTAAAAAGCTCAATGTTAGCAAATAGGTTTTGTGGCTCCTGCTCTTCCTCTCTTGTGTTGTGCTGGGATGCCAAGGGCGCTGCAGTTTTGAGAAGCAGGAGAGGAAGCCCACTGTGCTGATGAGACCCCTAGGCCAGAGAGGGGCAGTGTCTACAGCCTCCACTCCAAGGTCAGTCAAGGGAGCCCTGTGCACAGGTAGAGAGATGAGCTTTCCAGGAGGGAACATTGTCCAGAGTCATCAGAGGAAAAGACGGTAAGCTAGCAGTCAGTGGTCCAGTGGACAGCACGAGTTCCTGTGACTGTTGAATTGCTGTTTAGTCCACCATGGGTGCTTCAGTGGAACAGTCTGTGCTTTTTCCCCTTGTGTCTGTCAGGCATTTGTTTTGGGACTGAGAGAAAGAGGGCTGTTTTTTCTGGGGATGACTCCCACTGTTTCCCTCTTTTTTTCTTGCCTTCTGTGGAATATCCCCTGCACATTCATGTAGACTTCTGGCTCCTTTTTTCTGTTCTCTCGACTGTGTGAACTTTGTAGTTCATCCTGGCCTGGTGTCCCTTCCAGCAGTGTGGTCCTGTCACAGGATCTGTGCTCCCGCTTCATTACCTGCTCTGGATCTCCAACCCAGGGCTTTTCCTGCAGCTGCCATTCTTAGAAGTGTCAAGTCTATGGTTTGATTTTACCCTGCTTTTAAGCCAGTATAGTCTGTTGGTGCTTCATGGATGTTGGAGAAGACACGAAATCAGTGGGTCAGTGACAGGACTCCATTACAATCGACACAGCAAGCTGCATGGGCACTGACCCGTTGGCGTCAGTCGCCACTGCCTTCAGAGTTCTGCAACGATGGGCCCAGATGGGTGCCTGCACAAGCAGTCGGGGGCAGGCAGAGGGGCAGCGCTGACCTAGGAAGATGTCTGCACACAGTCAGCAAGCCTGCTTTGTCCTGAAGGGAGACATCACCTCATTCCTAAGGTCACTCACTGTAAACCCAACCCTGAAAATTTGGTTGGAGCCTTGCATTCCTGACGCAGCAAGGAAGATGTTCAGTGTGTCTGAAAAGAGGCTCTTCATCTCCATCTGTCCTAAACTTGTTTCTCCTTCCCTTTTGCCAGCCCATGGATGGGCAAGGATGGTGACTCATCCTTAGCTCTCTTCCGGCCCTCCCTCTCATGTGCCCGAGATGGATGGCCCCTCTTGCTGTCTCTTGGATGCATTTGCTCTTCTTGGCCTCCATTATATGCCCCTTGGTCAGACCCCCACACTTCCCCTTGGTTAAAGCTGATAGCTTTTCATCTCACACCTATAATACTCATTTTACTTTAAGTCACTTGATTTACAATTTACTTCATTTGTTTGAAACTGAAAAGGTTCAAAAGGTTTGTGGTGAAAAGACTTCCCTCCACCTTTGCCCTGCCATCTGCTCTCCCCAGGGCACCTGCCCTCCAGGCCATGTCACCAGTTCCTGTGGAGCTTGTGCAGACATGGCCTCTTTTCTTTCTCCTTTTCTGTTTTCTTTTAAGCACAAACAGGACTGGGGTATGACAGCATAGGCAAGGCCCTGGGTTCTGTCAGCAAAAAAGGAACAAAACCTACTCACACACATGTACAAATGGTGACAAACGATTTTTTGTACCTTTTTTTCACATAATAATGTGTGTTGGGCATCATTTTCTGTATCTGTATATGTAATCTCGTTTTCAGTGCATCCCTCCACCGTGTGGATGAACCGTAACTTATTTGATCCGTGTCCTGTTGTTAGACAATCAGTTTGTATTATCCCGTCACTACTATAAGAATGCTGCACTGAATAGCTTTGAACGTAATATCATTTTCTGCATATACAACTACAGAGTCATCACCATGCAACTTAAACAGCCCTCAGGGCCACTCTGTACCTCTTACAAACACCGTTGGCTCTTTAGCACTTTCAGTGTCCCGTGCACTTTGATGACTTGTCGGGACTCTGACTTGCTTTCTTGTTCTTCCCTGTCTTATCCACAGGGAATCCAGCCACACTGGATTCTGTTGATTCCTTGAAGGGCCAGCGATCGCTCTCACTCAGCTCAGGGCCTTTGCTATTTCCTTTGCGTGAGACATTTTTTCTGTTTTAAGTTCTAAGTGATTTAAAAGCTAATTCTGTGGGACCAGGAGCATGGCTCAAGTGGTAGGTCTCTTGCCAGGCCAAGAGTTCAGTCTCCAGCACTGCCCCCACACAAATGCAAGGTAACTCTGATGGCAGTTTTCCCCATCCCACAGCCCCTGTGTCATCACCGTCCTTCTGTACTTATTCATTAGGCCCCTTACTCTTTCCCAGCCACTGTCCCCACCCCCTTTTTTGGGTAGGACCGGGGTTTGAACTCAGGCTTTCACACTTGCAGAGCAGGCGCTCTACCACTTGAGCCACTCCTACGGTTCATTTTGCTCTGATTATTTTGGAGGTGGGGGTCTCAAAAGCTGTTTGCCTGGGTTGGCCTCGAACTATGATCCTCTTGATCTCAGTCTCCAGAGTAGCTAGGATTACAGATGTGAGCCACCAGTGCCCGGCTTATCTCCTTTATGATAATCATATGTTTGTATTTCTGCTCCTTAGGGCATAAATTCCATATCGTACTCATCACTGCATCCCTGCACTTAGTAGGCTAGCACATAGTAGGGATTCATATTTGTTGTGTGGAACGAACAGGATATGGGTCACTGGAAACCCCTTTAGTTCCAGTGCTGCTGCTCTTTGGGCTGTGCAACCCTGGACAAGTCGTTTGTCTGTCCCAGGTTTCTGTTTCCTTCTCTGTGAATTGAGACAATGTCCTGAGGGGCCCAGAATGGGGTGAAGTGAAGACGAGGAGAGATGGTGTGTGTGAAAGTACTTTCCAGACATTATGCATGTCAGTCGACAAATGCTAATTCCTTATGAAGTTGTGGAAATTTGTACTTTAGCAACCCGAATATTAAATGGCTGTGTCGAGTCTCGTATTCAGATTAGAAGGAAACCACTGTGCAGTGTCCCAAAAGCACTGGAAAGCAATTGAACTGCATTTAAAACTATTTGTAATGGACACAAAGCCAGGTGTGGGTGTGTGCACATGTAATCCTAGCCACTTGGGAGGCTGAGTTGTGAGGTCACATGAACCCAGGAGTTTGGGACCAGCCTGGGCAACTCAGTGAGACCTGGTCTCAATGACAAAACCAAACCCTTGCTAACTAGCACACAATGGCTGTATGTATTTGTGGGGTACAGTGTGATCTTCCCGTATGTGCTTACAATGAAACGATGAGATCAAGGCCAAGGCACATCATGTCATTTCTTTGTGTTGGGAACAGTCACGAGCTCCCTAGTAGCTGTTTTAAACTGTGTGAATCATCACTGTTGACCACAGTTACTCTGTTACAGAACATCAGAAGTTGTTCCTGGGGTCCAGCCTCTCCCCCCCCCCCCGCCCCCCGCAATGTGCACAACTGAAAGGATAAAAGTTTCTCAGAGGGACAGGGGGTCACACTGCAGACAGGGCGCTCTGATCACCTCTCTTCGCGGTCTACCTCGTGATGGCAGCTGTCCCCAGAACAGCACTGGCCAAAAGGAGCACCGCCCACATAAGTTTTCATTTTATCGTAGCCACGTTTTTTCAAAAGTAAAAAGTAAAAAATTAAACACTGTTGACCTGTGTGTGTAAGACATTTCGATATGCGTGAAGCATCATTTTGATATTCGACCCATACTAAATGCTCGTGAGGCGTCGGTGCCCTTTGGTGCAGTTGAATCTGGTGTGTCCTGTGCATCTGCACACTCCACGTGTCTTTGCTGAGACCAGGGCCTCGGGTGTAGGAGACTACTGGATGGAAAGTCGGTAGTTAAGTGGTTTGTTGTCCCCTCGTCAGTTATGAAGAACGCAGTAGCCTAAGAGCTCAGCCACTAAGGCGACCTTCGCCATCAGCCTGTGGGGGGGACATCACATCTTCATTTTATAGACGTGGAACCCAAGGTCAGGAGTTCAGGGGAGTTAAAATCGGCCTCAGGTGGCTGGCGTTTCTCCCCCCTCCTCCCGTCTCTCTTCCTTTGTGGAGCTGTGTGATTGGGCCCAGGCAGGGCTTGCGTTCAGTCAATGTAAACATTTCTTTTTCTCTCTGGTTCCCTTGTCTGCCTTTTTCTTCTGCCAGAAAGTGTCTTTTATGGTCATGAGGCTAAACTTGAGGGATTTGGCTTGCTATGTTACCTAGCATCTGAAATCCTTTCGATAATTATTAACTTGATAGTTACCCAATAGTTGCCTTTGCAGTTTGTATTCTGAAACTACTGACGATTTTCTTCTTTTTTCAGAGAGATTGGGACAATCATCAGGTCGTTGGGGTGCTGCCCCAGTGAAGGGGAGCTGCACGATCTGATTGCTGAGGTGAGTGAGCGAGCCTCTTGCTCTGACTCAACACTAAAAATGCCTCTCTCTGCACTGTGTAGATCAGTCAGCCACAGGATCTGAAGGAGTTGGGGTGGGACCAGGTCTTGAAGAAATGGTTATCAAGAAGCAGCACTACAGCGTCTTTTTAAAATTAGTTGAAGATAGGCCAGGAGACACAGGGAACTGACTATGTGCAGAAAGACTAGTGCAGGTGAAGGAGGAGAAGCAGAAAGATGGAAGAATAGAAGCAGAAAGAAAGACTGTAGGAATTTTTACTTATTTGGGGAAATAAAACTAAGTTGCAGAGTAAGTGGTAAACAGTAAAATAAGAACACTGAGTAGCCTCAAGTTTTAAATGATTATCTGTAATAATATTATTAAAAATTACAACATGCTTGGTTTAAAGATCTTGGTTGACTTTGTTTTGTGATTCTAGAATGAGCAGCCCTTGTTCTATGAGTAGAAGTGTCCCCAAGGTGCTCCAAAGAGAGGAAAGCAGAAGCCCGGGGCCAAGGGGAGCTGGTCATTTCAGTTACTTTCCTTGTACGGGGTCAGGGGACAGAACAGTAGAAAGGTGGAGGACTGGTCGACATCAGGCTCCTCCAGGACCCCTTTTGGGTAAGGGTTAAAGTAGGAGGAACTTCGCAATCCTGCGCACTGGGACTGGCTGGTTGGGGGATCCAGGTGGTTCTGGGAAGGTCAGGTAACAATTCGGTTTCTGCTCGGTGGTGATGGTATTTCTCGGGGTGACTCCACTTTGGTTTTTAGTCTGATCCATTAGGGCCCAGTATAGGGGCTTCTTCCAAAGCAATGGCCTTCTATGGTTTTCAACAGTGTAGATGAGCTCTGGAGAGAAAAAGCAGTGGCTGAGCAGCCCAGGTCCAGAGAGCTTCACCCATGTTTGGTTTTCCAGAATGCTCTCTGATCTAACTGCAAGTGAAACGTTCAGCTCATCAAAGCAAACACCTTGCAGGAGGGGAGCTACCTGAATCCCAGTCTTGTCCCAAATTGCTCGTCCAGGCCTAGGGTTCTGGTGGAGGACAGGGCTCAACAAAGAGCACAAGAGAGAAAGACAAGTGGAATGTGCCCCCTCCCTCTTCTCAGTCCCTCACAGCCCTTGCTTGTTTGGTGCTGCATTGAAGGCAGGAGCTTGGCCATCGGGCATTAACTTGTGTTGAGTATTGCTTTCTCCCTGATAATACCTACTTCAAGCTCTGCTTCAAGATAAACAAAATAATATGCAAAGAGACAATTTTTGACTCCTAAGGCTTAGCTATCTAAAGTAATATTAGCATATTAGCACCTTGGCACCGAAATTGCAGCCCCAACTGTTCACTAACATTTAAAAATATCCAATAAGGAAGTCTTAAGTCGTAAGGATGCATCTTTTTTCCATTTTGGATTCCAAAAAGGTATTTTTACCAAGATTAGGAGAAAATGCTTATTTTTCCTGAATGTGTGCTCACATTAAAAAAAAACAAAAGAAAGAAAGTCAAAGAAAAAATGTGATGGTGTATGCCTGAAGTCCCAGCACTCAGGAGGCTGAGAAAGGAGGATCAACAAGTTTGAGGCCAACCCGGGCTACATAGTGAGAGTCTGTCTTTGAACCATACCTCCAGTGCATTTTGTTTTGGTTATTTTTGGAGATGAAGTCTGAGGAATGTTTGACTGAAAAAAGGCTTGTACAGATAGGTGGAGATGGCTCAGTATGTCAGCATAGGCTTTATTGGGGAGAAGAAACCTGCGGAGAGGGTCTCCAGCAAGAGAGCTGCAAGAGCTGGAGCCCACTGTCGCTCAGACTGGGGGTATCTATAGGAAGGTAGAGGGAGAGTCCCAGGGCGGTTGCTCTGTGGGAAAATCTTCAATCTGCCCTCTGACCCTCCTGAGATAATGGCTTAAGGGCAGGTGTTTGTCTTTCTTGGAGGCCAAGTGGGGAGTTTCTAGTAAACAGCTAAAGGTGGATGTTTGTTATTCTTTAGGGCTGGGTGGAGAGTTTCCAGTAAGCCACCTGTGAGGGGTGGAGGGTCTGGTCCTAACGTGGATGCCTTATGTTCATCCTTACTAGGAAGTATTTGCTTCGGCTGGCTTTGAACTCAGTCTCCCAAGTAGCTAGAATTATAGGCGTTAGCCACCTGTTCCCAGCTTATTTCTGTGTTTTACTATATATTAGGGGCAGGCCAAATTCTGCCTTCCACCTCTGTTTGTAAATAAAGTTTTATAGGAACGCAGCTAAACTTGTTAGCTGTTTTCTTATCACAAGGGCAGAGTTGAGTAGTGGGGGTAGACTCCATGACACACAAAGCTCAAAATATTTGTTATTTGACTCTTTATAGCAAAAGTTTGCCAGCTTTTTCAGGGGGAGGGGAACACTACTGGGGTTTGAACTCATGGCTCATTGCTTTCTAGGCAGGCATGGTACCACATGAGTACCAGCCCTTTTTTCTCTGGTTGTTTTGGAATTAGGGTCTCGTTTTTTGCCCAGGTTGGACTGGACTGCAGTACTCCTATTTTACGCTTCCCACTGTGGCTGGGATGATAGGTGCACACCACCATGCCCAGCCTTTTCTGTTTAGATGGGATCTCATGAAGTTTTTTTGCCTAGGCTGGCCTGGAACTGCTATCCTCTAGATTTCAGCCTCCCAAATGGCTAGAATTACAGGCCTGAGCCACCTGCACCTGGCAAGTTTGCCAGTTCTTGCGCCAAAGCGGAACACTGTCGCTGATATAAGCTACTGCTTAGAGCTGCATGGCCTTCAGTGATCCCTTCATCTCTAAGAGCCTGGATGTACATGTATGGAAGAAGTCTGCTAACACCAGTGTTCTTCTGAGGGTTGAGTCTCACCGCTGTGAGGAGTCAGCTGCTTCTCTTTGGGCACTGGGTGCGTATTTGGTTGCCAACTCTGTGGTGACTGTCCCACAGAACCTCCTTGCTGGCCGGGGCACAAACCACAGTGGTGCTTCGGCTCAGCGTCTCACTCGTCTTTATGCTGTCATAGCCACACTGCCATGACCTCCGACCCTGACTTATGTCTAAAACAGCTGCAAGCCAGTGGGGATGGGGAGCTCAGTTGAACTCTGAATGGCTTTCTGTATGTGCCCACTCATTTATTCCAGCTGAGCTCCAGCAATATACTTATAACCACCCCGGCTACCCTTTCTGAACTTTCCCGAATAAACCAGGGAGAATATGGCACACATGTTTGCATGCACCAAGTACATTTAGGAAGTAGAAGTTCCACGTGATAAACACCTGGGGGTAAATGTCGGGCTGCTGATTGCTCTGTCATAGCTTCAGAGAGCAAACCACTTTAATGAGACCATGTGTAGATCTCTAGTCACCTCGTGTCTGAGTCGTAGTGTGGGTGCCTTCTTCTCTCTTCAGTTTTTGTAACTTTCTGCCCTTTGCTTTCTGAAGACCAGTTTGACATACTATGTCTCTCTTGAAGTAGACCATTTAAAAATCACTCAGCATTGATCCAAGCACATACTATTCAGTAACCAGCAAACTGCTTGCTCATAGTGTCAGCCTTATGGAGGACGATAAAACCAGCAGCTATGAGTAAGGGTCAGTGAGGTCACGCAGACGTGCTTTACCAGACGCCCCTGCCCTGGGTGTTCCGTTAGCGCTGTCTGGATCACCAGTGGGGGCCAGCTGAGAGGAGAGGATGGCATTTTAGAACAGTGGAAAAGCCATTAGAGGTCTATGTCCTTTGAAGTTCAAGCCTAAGTGGAACCGCAGAGAAGTTATACTAATTACAAAGGAGAACCGAAAGATGTCTGTAAAACAGACCTCTGCTGGGGAGATTATCGGCTCAGGCTATTTACTGGGGTGGCCACCCTCAGCCTCCTGCTCCTCCATTCCAGCAGTGTCCTTGTTGGCCTCTTGTCCGTTTTGCTCCCGACTCCTGGATTGCAGTTGCTCTTGGCTTCCTCTTCAGCCTCACTGGTCATTCATTGGCAATGGCTGAACAGCTCTACCTGTTTCTGTAACCTGGCATGGGGTGTGGGGTTGGCTAGCCAATCAGCAAGCCCAGGTCTGGGATCATCTGCTCTATTAACCCAGACCTGCCAAGGAGGCCACACGGAACTAAAACCTGCCATGCCGTTCTGGCCAGGGTGCTGCTGACATCCAGGGTGAGCAGTGCTTGTCTGTCCTTCTGTCTTCCAACAGAGTATCACTGTCCCTCTGGTTTTCTGGCTCATACATAACAGGCTTGTCCCAGAAGGCTGGCCACACTGCTTTGCTCACTGGTTAGTCATTATGTACTCCAGGTTCCTAAGGGCTTCCCTGGCATCACTGTTGCCCCATGCCTCCCTGGGGGCTGGGTCCCATGACCTGAGAAAGTCCCCAAGGCAGTTCTTGCTTATCCAGCTCTCTGGCTCACCAGAGGACAACTCACCCTCTTCCATTGCCCAGGGGACTCGCCGAGCTCTTCCAGGTCACGCTAGCCTGACCGGGTTGCTGTTTCAGAGTACAGTCTTTTCTCCCCTAAAAGGCCAGCACCTCCCAACCAGTTTATGCTGGGATTTAAGCCAGGTTGTCAGGCTGCCAGATAGGAGAGGAGATAGGGTGTTCCTGGCGGCAGGGCTCTTGCTTTGCAGCATGCAGAGGTGCCAGGAAGGGAGGGTGCGAGCCCAGGCTTCTGGGGATCTGCTCAGCCAGCATCCTCAGCCACCTCTGCATTTCTCCATCCTGCCATCCAGCGGGCCAGGCTTCTGAGGTCAGGTCCCTGGCCTTTGTACCTGTGTCAGCTGAGCGTTTAAACATCTCCAGGTCTTGAACTTGTGTTTTCTATTCAAGGAATTTCAAACTGTATCACAGACCAAATCCTCCCTGTGACCTATTTTATACAGCCCGAGCTGAGGGTGGTTTTTATATTTTTAAAGGAATCTAAAAACAAAGAAAAATGTGCACTGAGGTGTTACGTACTCTACAAAGCCTAAAATATTTGTTATCTCCTCCTTCACAGAAACGTGCCACTCCTGTTCAGCTTGAC